AAAAAAAAATGTGCAAAATGATGTAAAAATAAACTTTGTAATAAAAAAAAATAATTGTATGAAACTGAAAAAAAAAATGCTACATCTATCCTCTTACTTTGTAGTCCTTAATATCTAAAAGTTGTATTTTTGCTCATCATTAAATTAAAACCACATGTTATTCTTAAAAAAAAAAAAAAATGTGTCTGGAGGCCCGCTCACAATTTTTGAAAGTTTGAATAGACAGGTATTGGTTTATTTATGAAACGTTTCTTAGAACTCATGAATTTATGTATTGGTACAGTTTTGGTAACTGTTTCAATACGCTTGATTGTGACTGGCTTGTTCACATTTTCTATTCCTTTTTCAGCCACAAGTGATTGTATAATTCTAAGCTTTTGTCCATCTCATCTAGATTGTTGATCTCATAAGCATATCTCATTGTAATCTCTCATCCTGTGAATTTCTGCAATATCTGGTATAACTTCTCTGTTTCTGATTCTATTGATACTATAGTTTTCTCCCATTTTTTTTTTTTTTTTGTAAGCCTTGATGTGGTTTGTCTATTTTTTTCAAAGTACTGGCTTCTGGTTTCATTAATATTCTGAATCATGTTTCTGAACTGTATTTCACTTATTTCCACTTTAAGTTTTGTTATTTCCTCTCTTCTACTGGATTTTGATGTTGTTTGTCTTCTTTCTCTAGTTCCCTGAGATGTGAGAGGTTATTTATTTGATCTCTTTATTGTTTCTTCATGTGGGTCAGTATTGCTATATATTGCCTTTTCTTGTTAAACTTGTCCCGTAGCTTATCTTTATTGTCATTTGTCTCAGTTTTCTTATTTCTTCTTTAATTTACATATGAACCCAATAGTTATTCAATAGTGTGTTGTTCAGTTTCATGTACTAGTTTCTCCTGTTTTCTTTTTGTAGTTGACTGCTGTTTTTATGTCCTTATGATCAGAGTGAGTGCTTAGTCTGGTTTCAGTCTATGAATTTGTTGATACATTTCTTATATCCCAGTATATGGAGAGACATTGGAAACATTTGATGTGCACCTGAGGAAAATGACTATCTTTTAGTGGCTACAGTATCCTAAAAATGTCTGTTAAATGTCCTCAGGTAGTCTAATTATTTTTAAAACTAATGTGTCCTTATTACTTTCTGTCTCAGTGTTCTGTCCACTGGTGAAACAGTTGTTGAAGTCCCAAACATGAATGTATTTTTCCCAATGTCTATACACACACAGATTTGATAGGAAATGCCTTATATATTTTGGTGCTCCTTGATTTCATGAATATCTATTAATTAGTATTATGTTTTCCTGATGCATTGGTCCCTCAATCATTTTACTGTGTCCATCTGTGTCTCATTATCTTTTATAGCTCAAAATTTATTTTGTCTGACATAAATATAGTTATAGCTGTCTTCCTTTGGCTCCCATTTACTTATGACTGCTTTCCAATCCATTATTCTGACCTCATGTTTATATTTGGAGTCCAGGTTTATTTGCTGAAGAGAGCAGAAAGTTGGATTCTGTTTTCTATTTCAACCACAAACTCTGCCTTACAATTGGTAATTTCAGTACATTTACAGTTAGTTAATATTGACGTCCAAAAGTCTGCTGCTGCCTTCTTGTCTTTAATTCTGTGTTTCTATGTATCAATACTTCATTGTTCAGTTCTTTGTGTGTGTTTCTCCCTTCCATTTGAGTGGGGGAGGAATGGGGTGGCTACAGTTTGTTGTTTCCTCATGGAAATGGATAATTCTCCAACAGTTTCTTCATTTGTTCCTTTAATTCAGACCTCTTTATCTTCCTCCTGGATTCTTCATGCATTATCATCTTCAAGGTCACTAATTCAATCTTCCATTTGGTTTATTCAACTTCCACAGCTTTCTCCAGAAAGTTCTATCTTCTCTATTGATCTTTGTATATTCTGCATTTCTATCATTTTCTTATCTAAAGATTTAATTTCAATCTTATTTGCTAATTTTATTTCTCAATACATTCTTTTGTTTTTGTGAGTGTTCTTGTATTTTTGTGGGCATCTTTTCTGTGTGCTCTGTTTTCTTCCATTTCTTTACTATTGCAATTTTAAACACTATGTATGATATAGCGAACAAATCTTCTATGTCTAACGATTGGGTTCTGGTGATTTATTACCTCTCTGTGCTGTATTATTCCCTTGAGGACTGAGGTTGCTGTTTGTGGTCCAGTGCTGCTGTAGGTGGGTCTTCGGATGAGCAGAGGTAGGCTCCTTCACCCATGTCAGGAGCTTAATGGAGCCATCTCTGGAGTAGTGAGCTCATTTAACTCCTTCTTAACAATTCACTTAAGAAAAATGTACTAGTTTGTAACAGGATTATATTACAAGAGACAATTCATAAAAGTATAACTTGAAAATTATAATAATACTTTCATTATACTATCAATGTAAGATAGCAAAAGATACTATATTATAACGATTTGTAAATCGTCTTGTTGGGATTGCTCTTTTAATATAGTCTAGCAGAGAAAAGATAAAAACTTTTACACTATTTTTCTGTCTTGCTATCTTTGGAAACAATGTAATTATTAAAAGGGTGAAAGACAAACTTGTTTTACAGAAAAATGTCTTATAGTTAAATTTCCTAGTGAACATATTCACAGAAAAAAAAATTGTCTAATTTGTGCCACCTCAAATTAAGAACAGTGCTTCTTTCAATTAATATTATATAAAGAATGCTGTATTTGCAAGAGCACAATTCAATATATTTTAAGTAACTAAAAAAACCTGAACCTCTTTTGTATCTTTTTTAAAACCCCTATTTCCTACTAGGAATCCCAAAGTACAAAGGCTTGCCATTTATTGCTGTTTCCTCAAATAAAAAAATCCTATTTGTGTTTTCTTAAGGAAAACAAATTCAGATGGAGTAACCACTACCACAATGAAATTCACTGCTCTAAATTATTTCTGTAACATCAGTTCCACTAATTTGAAATTTATTATACATGAGTCTGTGTGACTAGTGTTTTTGAATCCCTATAGCTGAACCTTCCTTGGTTTATAACTATACTCAATTCTGTATTAAATCATTCCCCTGTTTACAGTTCTACCAACTATAAAATATCCCATATAGTTTTGAAAGTCTACTAAAAATCTTTCAGGCCAGAACTGAACCAAAGATGTTCTTTTTCTGAACTCGACAGGAAAACTTCCTCTGTACCAAACTCAATCACAAATCAGTTAAGAGTAAAGCACTTTTCCCCTTAAATTATCTCACAAAAATAAGCAAATTACTGATGGAATAACTGGTGCTATGAGAAAACTAATTAGAAGAATCTATTTTCTTTAAGGTGTTGTTATCCTTGCCAGAACTTAAAGTGACATAATACTGTCAATCAAATGAGCACTGCCTGGAAGGTTTCAGAGGGTACAGGACAGAAAAACAAATAACTTCTTTCAGGTATTTCTTTCTTTACTAACTATACTAGGTTATAAGTAAAAACCAAAGACCAGTTTTCTCTCCCCACCCCTATAAAAAAAGATTATAAAGCAACTTTAAAATATTGGTATTAATATATAAAATGAGGTTCCTTATAGGGGGAAAAAGGCCTATCTGTACTTAAAAGCCATGCAACTTTACACTATTCTAAACCATTTCAAACAGCAAATTAGAATGTTCTTATTAAATTGAATGACAGTACTCACTTTTTGATTTCCCGAAGCAACATTCGGATAAGGATGTTCTGAAGTGGCTCAACCATCAATTTCCTCCACATATCCAATGCTAGCTGCCAGGAAAATTAAAAATGATCAAAGGTGAATCACTTAGTATTTCTTTTCAATATTTAAAACAATTTTAAGGAAAATACCCACCAAATGAAGTTTTTATAATTAATATTTCAAGAATCAAATGAAAATTGACTTATACATAAGGAAAACATTCCTAAATTAAAATGCAATAACCATCACAATAGTTATATAAAGAACAAAATTAAGGCTTAATTTTAATTGATACTATACAGAAATAACTGATTTTCATAAAACTTTGATTTATTGATCGTTTAATGCCATGGTGCAGGTGGGGGGAGAAGCTATAGATGCCAATATTGCATCAGAAACAAAGAAACTATGCTAAATAAAATGTGATTTGACTACTGGCTGGATTTTTAATTTATAAAACCTCTTACATAAATCAAAAAGGTAAATCAAGTTAAAGAGTAATAAAATAAAAAAACCTTTGTATTTACTATCCAGTTTAAGAAATATAACTTAACCATTACCAATGGCCCAAATTTCCTACTCCTTTTCCTTCCCCTCTGAACTTCTAACTATACTAAATTTTGTGTCAAATTATTCCCTTGTTTATAGTACTACCAACTGTAAAATATCCCTAGTTGGCCGTTCTCACCTTGATAACAAAATCACACTCACATATTATTTTAAAATTTTTTTATGTTGTTAGTTAAAATCCATCCGAGTTGAAAGATATAGTTGTTCAATTTTATGAATATGCCATCATTAATATTTCCTTTCTACTACCTATGACATGCGTTTGTAATTTCAATTTTGTGCTAAGTAAAATACCACTATTCTCATATATTTCTCATGATGCAAGTAAGAAAGATTCTCAGTTGCAGGTTGTTTTATTAAATGAAGACAAATGGCTTCCCAGTTTACACATGCACAAGCAATAGATGAGCTACAATTACTTAACATCTTTGACAAAAACTAGATCTGCAGGGCTTTAATGAAACTTTGCTAGTCTGTTGTACATAAAAGTATCTCCACATCAATCTCCTCTTGTATATAAAAGGGTTTTACAGGGCATTTTCATTACTAAGCCAGGACATTTTTCTATGGTTATTGTACATTTCAGGTTATATTCAGTAAGATACCCATTTATCTCTTTTGTCCATTATTCTACAGTATATGTTGTTCTTAATGAAACATAGAAGTGCTTTATCTATTACTAGGGTTAATTTCCTCACAGTTTTTTTTTTTTTTTTTAAAGATTTATTTATTTATTTATACAGAACTGGGGTACAGGCCAGAGATGCAGAGGGTGAGAGGATTCACCAGAGACAGAGTGAGGAACAGAACAGGCAGCTCGACGAAATACACTGCTGAGGGGAGCAGCGGGCAGGTCAGGAGAGGTCTGCCATTCCATGTGGTCACCTCCGGGGCAGGTGGGGATCGAACTCATGTGGAAGTGGCTTTAGCTTCTTTGTGCTGTGCTTTAACCCGCTGCGCCACCATGGAGGGCCAATTTCCTAACAGTTTTACATAGCGCAGTTTGTGAATTTTGAGTTTGTATATATCTTAATAAATAATTTAATACACCCAAATTTACCAAACACATCATTAGCATTTTAAAAATGTTTTTTAAGAATTCTTTCCCTAAAGTCCCAGGATATGTGTCCCTCTATTTATTGCCTTCCAAAACTTCAAGTTTTGCCTTCCACATTTAAGCCTTTAGACTCCTCTTTATTTTCCCCATACAAAGTACAGATTATTTTAGTATCAAAACTGATTGCCCCGTTTCCAACTTAACCACATCCATATACAGGTTTAAGTATGTTTTTAGCCTTTCTTTTCCATCCCTGGGGTAACTTTATTCTGATCTACTAGTAATTCCATTTCAAATAAAGAAGAGCATTCCTGTCTTCCCACAAGGAATATCCTTCAACTTCTGCCATCTCTTTTCTTTTTAATAGCACAACTGGGGGGGGGGGGGTAGGTACATAAGAAATGGAATGCATAAGAAAGTGGAATATTATAGCTGCGAGAGCAAACTTATAAACCTTTGAAAGAAAAGCTATTAGGACTCTCAAAATTCAGGATGTGCTGTGACCCTAAAAATATATTTTCAGGTACCCACTCTATGAAAATTTCTGCTCAGGTACAAAGAAGTAACATAAATATAACTTCATGAGTATAAATTTTTGTGTTTTGATCATTATTATTTTCCCAGTATGTAGAACTGTGCCTAGCACAGAGTCAAAAAAATATGTGACAAACGAACGGCGGTATTCATTACAGTATGTTCGTTAACAACAAAAACTGAAAACTAATGAGAAGTTTAATAAACAATAAATTATCCTATCACTAGTATGGAATTTTAAGTTCTCATTAAAGGTCAACTTATGTGAAAAGAACTCCTAAATACATTAAATTAGAAAGTCAAGACATATTGCAAGTCCTTTCTCCCCTACAGCTTTATTCTTATAAAACATGTGTCCTTAGTTTTTCAGAAACCTTATCCCCTTTGTTAAAAGTTTCTACAAACTACTTTTACTACTAATCTACTTGCCACTTTATAATAAAATTATACTGTTTATATAGTTTATACAGATACTGGATTTTAGATTGTTTTGCCATTTGTAATCCTTTTCATTTTTCAAAGTATATATGTATGTGTGTGTGTGTGTATGTATGTATGTATGAATGAATGAATGAACTGGAGTAGACCACAGATGCAAGGGCTGAGAGAATTCACCAGAGAGAGTGGGGAGCAGAACAGGCAGCTTGACTGAAATACACTGTGGAGGGGAGCAGTGGGTGAGACAGGGGAGGTTTGCTGTGCCATGTGATTACCTCCCTGGCCGGGGGCTGCAGATAGCTTCATAATGCTTACTATAATTCCTTGAACCATCAGGAAGGGCCTCATAATCCTTTTTAACAATAACTGCAAGTGATTAAGTTTCAAAGATTAAAGATTCTTTTAACATTAAAACAAAAAATCACTTTTTGTGTAACCATGCTTATTATTCCACAATACAGATTACAGTACATGCATTATATAATTTGCCACATTTACATTTGCACTATATCTTAAGAATCTGAGTGAAGTACTTAATCAGCCATTTCATTGCTTTACTGTGAATTAGTCACTTTTCATAGAAAAAATAAACTATGTCCATAAACTTGTATCTTCTCTCTTTTAGGCTCTTTCTTAAGTCCATGCCCTTTGTACTTTTTATCTACAAGAGTCTTGATAGTTTCTAAATATTTTTATGAACTTTTCACATAACAGAACTATTAACCTGTCATTCATTCATGCATCACTAATTATTAATATAATATTCATCACATTTTCTCTTCTAAGCTATCAGAAGGTTCTTAGGAAATCATTTTGGTGTTATATTTACTTAACATTTTGGATGTTCTAGAACTCGAAAATTTTAAGATAGCTAACTGTCCTTTAAAAAGGACAGACAGTGAGTCAAATTACCTCAACATATAAAAATACTTTTATGTTTTTAAGTCATTTGAAGAATTCCCTACCTCTCCTATTTCCATGAGTGGTTCATTCATATCTACACCACCATAGCCATACTGAAGGTCAGCTTCTGTCAATTTATTTTTTTTAATAAACTGGGTGTTGAGATACCTGAAAAACAAATATAAAATCACTGTACACTATGTCAAGAATAACAGGAAAGTAAGTAATTTGTAACTTTAGTGTAATACTTTCAGGGTTGAAAATCAGCTACAGAATAGTAATAGTTCAGAAATTAATTATGTAATAATTAGACATAATATTTTTAAAAAGATAAAAATTATCAGTCCAAATTTCTCTGGCTAATCTAAGGTGACAAAAAATAACACGTTTAGAATATGGAAGAACAACAAAAACAACCTATCACTGCAGGGCTTTTTTTTTTCCAATATGTTTATATTCTAATAGCTCTTATCCAAGGGTCAGACTTTCTATAATCCAATTTATTTATTCCCAGGTTCTTCTCTGTAAGTCAATATAAAAACTGTTAAAAGATAACAGGTAAGCTATTCTCTATATTTTATCACCAGGAAAAGATGCAATTTTTCATTTTTAAACATAAAATAAGTAATAATCAGTGGGTAAGAAAATTCAGTAGATTGTTAAAACAGTAAGAAAAGTATCAGCAAAGCTAACAGATTTAAGATCATTTTGTGCATCAGAGGAAAACAGCTCTCTAGAAAAAATGCTTACGATCAACATCTGTGACAGACTCTAAGAGTTACTAAAATGAATATAGAGATCTGAAATTAAATAAGGCATGTAGAAAGGACTTGTAATATTCAAGTACTCATTTTACACCATCCCAGATTTTACTATAATATGTCTTAACATTCATCACCTACAACTATTTGAAGGTTCCTGCCAATATGTAAATAATTTAGGCAATAACCACTTTCCAAATTTTCACTGCATCAAAAAACTGAAAGCAAAGACAAAAAAAATTTCAATCCCATAAGTACCAGCAATTCTAGGAGATGATAAAAATATAATTCCTAGACTCACTCTCAAAGCATAGCCATAACCACTTACTACAAAAGTTCTACTCTCACATTCACTAGCTTCATTCTCTAGACCCCATGGTTCATAATCTTGGAGGTCCACTTGACATTTAGTATCCTCTGACACAGATTATAAAGTCTTAACAGGTTTTTCCTTAAAAATGCCATTTAACTTTTCCTTCTAGGCGCTGTAACTCACAATTTCATGCCTTCCAGTAAACAAAAGGGAAATAAAATTGGGAGGTAGAAGTAAAGCTGAAAAGGGAAATGACCTCTTCATTGAAAAGGATTACCCAGGATAAAGCCTGAAATATGTGGTATTATTCTTATACTCCTTGTACATATATAAGAAAATAACAGAGCTTAAAGAATTTGCCTAAGGTGAATGTGCTAGTAAATGGGAGAGCTAGCACAGAAATTCCTGAGTTCTCTCATTATCCTTCAACAAGTATTGATGGAGTACCAAGGAAAATTACAATAATGATGTGTGTTTCCTGAACAGAGGAAACTTAACTGCACTATCTTTATCATTCACACATATGCCTTCCTGTATAGATCCTTTGTTCTGAACCAATTTTATCTTTGTTTAGTACCATTACCATCCTATCTGAATCACTTATCCATCCATTTTTTTTTTTTTTTAAGATTTATTTATTTGTTCATACAGAACTGGGGTACAGGCCAGAGGCTCAGGAGCGGTGAGAGGCTTCACCAGAGACAGAGTGGGGAGCAGAACAGGCAGATCGACAAAGTACACTGCTGAGGGGAGCAGCGGGCGGGTCAGGAGAGGTCTGCCACGCCATGTGGTCACCTCCGGGGCAGGCGGGATTCGAACTCATGCGGAAGCGGCTTTAGATTCTCAGTGCTATGCTTTAACCCGCTGCGCCACCAGGGAGGGCCTATCCATCCATTTTTACTTCCTTTCAACAGTACCACTTCAGAACTCCAAAATTAATTATGGTCTCCTCCCCTAACTTTTCCTTTTACTTCCAATGCCATTTATTTACTCTCTCCTTGAAACATGGGCAAAACTCTTAAGATTAATCTTGATTTTCTGTTTCTGGTATCTCCAATGCATTAAAAATTCCTGCTTTCAGGGTTTTTAAGTATCCTATAGTAGCATCCTTAAAACTACATAGTAAGTATAAATTTCTAAACATAGTGTGTTGTTAACTCTGAAGAAGCTGCGCTATCTGCAGAGTTCAGGACTCACTAATCCATTCTAAACATCTGTACATATAATGCTGTGCAAGGATATTTGGTGCTACAATCACTGTTAGTGATATATTTTATATCTGATTAGATAAGTAACAGTCCTCTTTCCCTCATTTAATAAAATTTAAACTTACATTAAATATATTAATAAGTCTTTTCTGCAGAACTGGCAGCAACACAATTGATAACAATAATTGACAACAACTAATGACCTAAATAGCTTTGTGATCTCAAACAAACAAACAAACAAAAACAGGTATTTTAATCTATTCTAGTGAAACTCCATTATAAAAACTGCCCATGCTACCACATACTGGATTTCAATAGCTGTTACTTTTCAAGTTAACATCTTAAGCACTCCACTCCAAGAGATAGTAAAGTCAAAACAGATATGGAGAACTAGGAAAGGGGCACAGGAGTGTGATTACTTTTCTTTAAAATCAGAACTGCTAATTCAGTCAACTATGATAATGCATATCCACCTTAAAAGTTAGACAAGGCTAGAAATTACTTCATAAGTATAGTGAAAAAGTGTGAAACAAAACTTGACTTTTTTTCTTTATATTTCATTACACAGATTTCCTTACAGACTATGACTAGACATATGAGCTAGCCTGGATAACCTGACTACTAACAAGTAGGCTGTGAAACAGTTTTAATCTAATCCTTATCAATTATATGCTTTATAAAAAGGATCTAAGCACTAGTCCACCAAATATAATTAAATAAACAATGATCAGTCACTCATGACTCCAACACCACAAAAGTCAAACAAACTAGAGAATCCCATGGAACATCTGTTCTAAATCTTACCTATAGGTAGTGGAAACTTACTAAATGATTCTTAAGTCTTCACAATTTCACTTTAGACAAGATAACAAGAGGTTTGCTAGATAGAAATAATTAAAAATCAAAAGCTAGGAGACAAGTTATAAGGATTTTATCACTAATAGTTCATGTGAGAAAAGATAACTATAATAATGCTTTAGTTTTTCTTGAGCAAAGGAAATGATGACTTGAGGAGATAATTGGAGGAGTTAACCAACAGGGAGTCAAATAGGATAATCCTAAGTGAAGGATAACTGAGACTTTTGGCATTTGTGTACCAATGTACTGTACTATTATGAACTTATTATGAACTTAACAAATTAGAAATTGTGGGTTCAGTGTATGAACAAAAGATAAGTTGGTTTTGAATATCTGCAACAGGACAATGCGTCCATGGAACATCCTGGAGGTATAGGAAACTAGGTAGAAAATAATCCTCTGACACTAGAACAGTTAGAATAAACTAAACATTTTGATGCTTACATACACACTGAATAAACTAAACATTTTGATGCTTACATACACACTGTAGCTAAAACCAAAGTAACTGAGATCACTTAGAAAGAACCTGTAATATGGCCCACAAATGCTGCCAAGTAAGCACTATAAAAATCTCCCCTTATCCCCATGCCATCATGTCTCAGAATCTCCCATGGAGCTGGAACAGCTGTGAAGCTCTTTATCAGAGGTTCAAGTTTTGAAACAACCTATGCCAGTCTGAGAAGCCACTCTGAGCACTGGGCAATGCTCACAGACTATACGGTAATGAGCAATCCAAACACCAAGCCAACCAAAGGCTTAGACCTTATCATTCGTGCCCAGTGGAGATGGATGTAGTCACAGCTGCAAGGCCACACAAGATAGAGGGGAGAGTTCTGAAACCATAGAGGACTTTATCGAGAATATTCTCAACAACCTGCTGCCTATTTAATCATGAAAAAGATTTTTGTTGACAGCATTAAAGACACTGAAGAACATCGAGCTAGCAGAATGGGAAAACTGAAATGATTGAAATATAAAAAGATCCAGACAATGACAATGAAAGAGAGGCTTTGTTTTTGTCATCTCTGATGACCATAATTCTCTAGAGAAGACTGTCATTCAGAAACACCAGTACTGTGAATGGCCATAACAGTGAAGGAAGGAAAGCCCTATATGAGCAAGAGATCACCAGCTATTCATCAAGCCAGAGAGTTCTAAGTGGTTATGGACCCTTTGGTGGTGGATGCAGAGGTGGTTTTGGTGTGAATAACAACTTTAGTTGTGGAAGAAACCAGTTGGCTAAGGTGGCTTGGTGGAAGTGAGGATGGCTATAGACATTTGGAAATGACAGAAGCAATTTTGGAGTGATAGCGGCTACAATGACTATGGCAATTATAACAGCCAATATTCAAATTTTGCACCCATGAAAGGAGGACACTTTGGAGGCAGGAGCTCTGGCCCCTGTGGTAGTGGAAGCCAGTACTTTGCAAACTCATGAAGCCAAGGTGGCTACCACAGTTCAGCAGCAGGAGCAATGGTAGTAGAAGGTTTTAACTGCCACAAAACAAAGCTTCGCAGGAGAAGAGAGGCAGAGAAGTGACAGGGAAGCTACTTTTTACAAAAGATTTGAACTCTGCCAAGCCCAGTGGTGGGCGGCCCTTTGTTACAAAGAAGACATGTTTGGACAATGGGCATGGATGGGCAAAAAGCTTAAGGGCTCTATTTGTTACTAATACATAAAAGAATATTTAGTTTCCTTTCTGTGCAAAATGTAAAAACATTTCACCAGAATTTTAATGTCCTTTTTTTTCACCCATGCTATAGATTGCTAAATAGAATCATCTGATCATGATGGTCAATAAATGTGTCTACTTTCAGATGTGTTATATAGTCTCCTCCAAAGCCATCTTGGTAAACTGTCCCAAAGTGTAAAGTTGGAGCTTTGGGTTGATGCCAAGTTCCATTTGAAATTTATTTATAATCTGCTTAAGATGAAAATGAAGCTGTTTTTGGAAATCTTGGAGTAGTTGAACTAACAAGATGTTGTGACTTGTTCACCATTAAAAGGATCACTCAGCCAGAGTTTATCTGGTTATTGATTGCTGGTCTATCCTATGCATTATATCTAAATTGAATTATGACACCAGATAAAATCACAAATGGGAATGAAGCTTGTTTCATCCATCACTATGTACAATCAATAAATGATTGAACATCTTCTTTAAAAAAAAAAAATGTAAGAAAAAAGATGACAATAGACTCTACTTAAGTGACTACACAACGTGGATCTAGAATGAAAATATTAAATGGATTTAACATACTGATCTGTGTTTAAAATCTGCTTTTATAATTTTTTTTGCCGAGTAACTGATCAATGTCATTTAACTTCTCTGAGCTTAAAAATAGGGAAAAATAGGGACACAGACTAATATATTGTTTTATTCATATATAAACATACACATACACAAGTTTATATATCACTGCAATGTTTACTAAAAGTTTGTAAATAGTACCAATTAAGTAGTTCAACTTTAAACAGTGCCAAATTAACTGATTTTGGTAAAAAGATACAGGAGAGAACTATGTTCTACAAAACTAAAAAAGAACAGAAAAGTAAACCTTAACTATTTCTACTAAAGAGGGTCCCACGGCATAGCACATAGTCTAGACACTTTATCACTTATAAAAATGAACCATACTTCTTGGCAATGGAAAAAGCATGCAGATACTCTCTCTTATTCTTAAAATCCCCAAATTCCTTAATTTAGCTAGGGAATTCTTAAATTTCTATTTATGATTGTCTAACACTGGTAGATGATGAAAACTAAGAGAATAAGATATCAGAATGGTTAATGTATGGAAAGCACTGTTTTATAAAAGTCAAAGCCACAATAAACCTTTGTGCTTGTCAGCAAACTGCTGCTTTCTGGTTTATTAAAAAAAAAAAGCAAATAGCAATTTAGAAGTGCCAGTTTCTAACACAGACAACATAGAGTGAGTAAGCTGCAGGGTGATGAAAGCCTCAGCCAACACAAACCAGTGAAGCTACGGACAATATGCCACTCCTGCAATGTGTGGTTTAAATGTGTAAATAATGCTTTGAGGCTCAGCTCCACTCCTCCTTTTCTTCCCAATGAGAAAATGAGGCAGAGTTCCATCTATAGCCTGGACCACACTGGCAAAATTACCACTACACCCATCATAGGCTGCAACCATTTCCAAAAGAGACAGCAGAGGTCCACGGACGAAAGGCCCAGGGCTAATGCCACTATTCTTGATTCATCTGCTGCTATTCAATAAACAAGCCTTTCACGTCTGGGTATTTATTCTCATTGTCTGTGTAAACAGGTTAGAGGATCAGCACAGGCAGCTATGGGTACACAGAGGACTGGCAATTAACACAATACACCTAAGCAAGAGTCTAAGCAGACCTGTGGGTGGTGGTGAGGGGGAGGAGGAGGGAAAAGGGTTGTTCAGAGAGGAATGTAAAAAAATATTGGAATTGGTCATTCAGAGAAAGGGAAAACAGCAATTCAGACAGACTGGCATCAAGATAGACAGAAAGATGTGACGTACCATGGAGCTTTATGAAACATGCTCTATAGTCCGAGACATTCTGAAGAAATAGAGCAAACCATAAAACACAGTTTTATTCCTCATAGAACAGCTTTCTACACATGGGAATTAACAGAGACTACAGACCTTTCCCTGTAGCAAAGGAAAGTCCATAAAATAGGAAATGCTTTAGTTCAGTACATTTCAGTGGGTGATAGGTAATTAAAAAAAAACGCCAGCTCCTGTAACCATGAATGAAGTCAATTCTGTTTAGACTGTCAACAGTTTGAAAACATACTTACCTGTACAAGCAGTCCATATAGTCTGCACCCTTGCTATATTCCTCCCAATACCTATGATACATAACAAGAACTTGTTCTTCAGACTCCAGAACTCTCTACATAAAGAAGAAAAATACTTTTACTGGAAAGCATTAACAATTTTTATTTGTAAACTGAAAATTTTTAAAAATCAATGTTCTAAAGTAACTTACATAACTCAAGCATTTTAAAATGAATTTACAAACAACATTCTAATTTAACTACTTTTAGAAACAATGTGACTGGGGGGTAAAATGTTAATTTTAGATAGGAAAGTAAAGCATCCATTCCACAAAGCAAATTGTTATTGTCCAAAAGAACAAAAGTAATAGCTGTGATACTGTCGCTGAATGAAAATATTACACTAATGTCAGCTTATCATGGAACATAATTCTACTGCTATCTACATGTTTCTTCAAATCTATCACTTTCAATCAGACTGATAGTTATTGAACCTCTCCAAATTATTCTTTGTGAATAAGACTATGAAAATATCACCTTTTCACCTTTCTCAAGTAAGCTGTTTCATAGTTATTTATTAGAAGCTATTATAGTATGAAAAATGAAAATCATTAAAATCTGAGATTTGATTTTTAAATATAGTCGAATCTAGCTTTTCATCTTTTTCATAACAGTATAGTACTTCACTGAGTATATTCCACAATTTCTCCATCCATTGTGCTTTGAAAGGGCACTTGGGTGTTTCCATGCTTTGGCAATTGTGGACAATGATTTAATTTATGTACACAGGGTAGACAGATTTTTGTATTAGTGTTTTCATATTGTTTGGAGAAAGACCAAGCAGAAGTAATAATGGACCAATGGAATTTCCATTTTCATTTTCATTCTCTTAAGAAATCTCCACTCCATTTACCACAGAGCTGCACCAACATACATTACCATCAATAGCAAGTGGGAATTCCTTTATTTCCACAACCTCATCAACATTTATCCATTCCATTCTTTTTCTTAATGTGCCATTCTAACAGAGGTGAAATATTGCAATGTGATTTCAATATACATTTCCCTTACCTACACTTGAGCTTAGCCAAAAGGGCAAGAAGCAATATATACATTTCCCTTATCATAACTGTTTCTGAACAATTTTCAAGTCTGTGAGCATTTGAATATCTTCCTTAGAAAAACGTTTATTTGGATCCTTTGCCCATTTTATGATTGGGTTGTTTTTTTCTTGTTGGACTGTGGAAATACTTTGTAAATTTGGAGATTAAGTCATGGTCAGTTGTGTGCTATGCAAATATTTTTCCCATTCTGTAGGTTGATTTGAGAATTCAGATTTCTTTTGCAGTACAAAACCTTCCAGTTTGATGCTTTTGTTTCCCTTGCTGTTGGGATTGAGTCGCCAAACACATCATTATGGTAGCCGTCCTACAGTGCATCCCCTAAGTATTTTATGTTTTGGCTCTTATATCCAGATCTTTAACCCATTTAGAATTCATTTTTGTGTATGAAGTTAAATATAGGCATGGTTTCCTATTTTGCAAGCAGCCATCCATGTTTTCTAATAACATTTACTAGAGAGGCTACCTTTTCTCTATTTGTATGGCTGTTGTTCCTTTGTCAAAGAATAACTGCCCATATTTAGATTTTATCTCTGAGCTTACTATTATATTGGTCTGAGTTTCTTTTCCATTCCAGTACATACTGTTTTGATTAAAACAGTTGTGTAATATAATTTGAAGTCAGGAAGTATGATACCTCTAATTTTCTTCTTTTCTCTCAGGACTGATTTAGCTGTTCATGGCCCTTTGTGGTTCCATATTAACTAAACAACTTATTTCCTTAAAAAAAAAAAAGCCTCTATGGTATTTTGAATGGTACTGCATTGTTTCTGTAAACTGCTTTTGATAATATGGCCTTATTAAACTGGATTCTTCCAATCTGTGCACTTGGGATATTGCTCCAAATCTTTGTGTCTTATTTCCTTTAACAGAATTTACAATATACAGGTTGTTCAACTCCTTCATTAAGTTTACTCCCAGGTATTTCATTTTTCTCTAAGCATATTAACATGACATATACAAATAGTGGGAGTTTCACATCCACTTTTCTAATTTGCATTCATATTTATATATTCAATTGTTTAATTGCTACAGTGAGGATTTCTAAAATGATAGTGAATATCTCTGTCTTATTCCTGATCTTAGTGGTAGGACTTTCTTTTATGGTAATGTTGGCTGTTGTTCTGTTATAGACAGCTTTTATAATTTGAAGGTAAATTACATTTATTCCCATTTTTGCAGGTTTTATCATAAATGGATGTTGGAGATTTTCAAATACTTTTTTGCCATCTACTGAGATAAGCATGTGATTCTTGCCTTCCTATTTGTTGATCTGGTGAATGAGAAATTGATTTGCATATGCTGACCCATTCTTGCATCCCTGGGGTGAAGCCTACTTGACCATAATGGAAGATTCTCTCAATATTTTGTTATTTTCGGTTTCTTGGCATTTTCTTGAGGATTTGTTCATTTATGTTTAATCCACTGTGTATTTCCTCCCTCTTCAATTTTTTAAAGAGCTTGAATAGGATAGGTAAAGGTTTGGTAGAATAAAAGTCATCTTGTCCTGGACTTTTGTTTTTAGGGAGGCTTTTTATTATTTTCAACTTCAGTACATGTGACTGAAGCTGTCTAGTTCATCCTGATTAATCTTGGAAGATTTATGAGTCTAAAAAATTGTTCATTTATTCTAAATGTTCTAGTTTGTTTGCACAGAGATTTTTGTAATGGGTTGTTATGGTACTTGTATTTCTGTAGTACATTACAATTTTATCTCTCTCATTCCTAATGGCTTCCTATTTTTTCAAAGAACCAACTCTTGGGTTCACAGATCTTTTTGGACTTTTTTTGTTTGTTTCCTTTTTCATTTATTTTTGCTTGAATATTTATTATTTATTTCATTCTACTATTTTTTTGATGCTTTTTTTTTCATTTCCTCAGCTGCAGTTAGATTGTTAATTTGATATACTTTTTTTTAATGTGGGTTTGTAATGCTACAAATTTCCCTCCCTCATAAACCTGCTTTTAAATGATCCAATAGGGTCTGTTAGCTTGTCTCTCCATTTTTTTTTTCTGTAGCATTGTTTTTGTGTGTTATTTTGTGTTTTTGTCTCTCCATTTTCATGTTCCATTTGCTATATGCTTTTAAATCTCTTCTTGAATTTCTTCATTGACCCACAAGTTGTTTAGAAGCATTTTGTTTGCTCTCCATTTTACATGTTTTGGCTTGGTCCAGGGTTTTTTTTGTGTGTGTGTGATTAATTTCTAGCTTTATAACACTGGGACTGGTGAAGAGATTTCATATAATTTCTATTTTCATATACTTTCTGAGACATGTTTTATGTCCTAGTATGTGATTTATTCTTGAGAATATTCCATGTGCACTGGAGAAGAAAGTATAGTAATTTCTCAGTTTTCATTTATTTTTATTAATTGTTATGCTTTATACTTAAAATTTTAACATTTAAGGGTCAGATGATGGAAGTAACCTATCAGTAGTACCTTTTTCCCTATCCTATTAGTAAATAAATTAAAGATAACAGCTATTATTATGCTGAGTATTTTTAGGTGATACTGCTGTTGGTTGGGCAGAATACAAATCTGAAGAACAATTTGTTACTATATGTTAAAAACAATAAAGTGTTCATGACTTATGCTAAATAATTATTCTTCATAAGTATTTATCCTATTAAAAAAAGTTACGTAAAACAAGTTAGCTACAGAAAATATTCTTAACACAAAAATATTCTTTACAACAATATAGAATGGGTATAATATACACCCAGCAACATGGTAATATTTAAACAAATCATAGTATCTTCATATAATTAAAAATTTTACAATCATTTCCAGGATTACAAAACTTTATCTAATGGCAAAGGCCATTACTTGTAGTACTGTTGAAAGAAAAAAAGCATATCAGAGGTATATAATATGACCTCATTTTCTAATAAAAAATGGATGTCTACATACAGCAAAGCAAAAATACACAAAAGACTTATATCAATGCACATGCAATTAATATATAAATAATTTTTATTTTATAGATATAGTAAAACATCACTGGTGGTTATTTCTAAAGGTATGTTTTAAGGTGATTTGTTTTCTTCTTTTTATGTATCTGTAAGTCCTAATTTATCTACAATGAGACTACATTACAATTTAGTAGTTTACAAATTTCCCTCCCCTAATCAAATCAAATTTCCTTTCCAACTCTGTTGGAATTTCTTTCAAATTTTCTTTTAAATTCTGTTGGCTATACTAACAATTTATTTTATCATCTACATATCAGTCAACTTCTTTTTTGTCATTGGAAGAATGAACACTTCTTGAACTATTACATGAGTTTCATAAGCCTGTTTCACAATATCATTTTCAAATCACACAATTATACCCACTTCTTAGTTTTAATAATTCTATAACAGTTGTAATGGAAGATGTTAAGCTCAAGAAGCTATGCAAAAAGTATTCAAGAACTCTATATTTTTGAAACTTAAGTATAAAATTATTTCAAAATAAAGTTAAAAAACAACCTATGCTAAAATATAAAATGGAAAAAATTAATAAATGGCTACATTTATAAATTACTGTACAACCCAACCAATGCTTAGTAGCTTACAACAGTATAACTTTAAAACTAGCAATATATTATGGCAAGTTTATTATTAAAACCACTTCCATGAGATGATAGATGTACATATTAAAACACTACAACATATAAGCTATGTACAATAAAATGTAGAACATTTTCTTCAAATATTTTTGGAGGCATATTACATGATCATGACATGTAATGAAATGGCATGATCATAAAAAAGCAGCTTCTAGCCAGATGCAAATTAGACACAATTTTATATAGATTGTGTTGGTTTTTTGTCTATTTTATAATGAAACTTAAAGCTTCATCTTAAGGTAAGTTACTGACTTAATGCTCATGATCACACAGGTACTAACTGGTAGAGTCAATATTTTAATACAGATAGTAAGTGATAGCATGTACGTGCTGGTAAGATCTGTTGTCTGGACAGTTAAACACACTGTCTATAGCCAAACACTGCAAAATTCCTTACCTGTATATATACACAGATCAAGTCCCTAATGCTGACCTGCTATATATATACTAGCCGAAATAACTAGTCAGTTTCTATTATGCTTTTTAAACTTACCATTTCCTTTTTAGAAAAGAATGTTATTTTAAATTATATGCTATCCATATAAAAATTACTTTAAATAGGCTATAAAGAGGCCTATAAAAGGCTAGAAACTATAAAGGAGGAGGTGGGAAACAACGAGAGATCTTATGGTTCTATAAATACTACCCAAGGACAAAAGAATATTTTCAAATGTGATTTAAAATCCTCCTCCTTCACTTACTAGTTATATAATCTTGAGCAACTAAACTAGTTTCCCTTAGAGACCCTAACAACATAGTACTTTACTCAGTGATCATATATGTGTGTATATATATATGATCACTGTGTGTGTGTGTGTGTGTGCATACATTTTAACTTGATATAAATTCTACATTGGAAAAAAAGTGAGCTAATCAAAAAAGTAAGCAGCTACAAATATTTATATCAAGTATATACCATTTACCTTGTGCAAATGCCGTACGTGATTTTCCAAAAAAATCTTAGTTTCTGTATATAGTCTTTCTCCAAGGGGTTCAGGATAGGCCACACATAAAGCATAGATATCTCTAGTTAAACTGTTAAGGTTTTCATAACCTTTAGAGATATTAGTTTAAAACAAATGAGTTTGTTTGGCATTTAAAAAAATGTCAAGTTTGGGATTAATAATAAAAAATCAATACTTCACTTTTTATGGTTTAGAATTATATAAATCAGAGACAAAAAGTAAAAAGTAAAACATAACCATATTTATTTTACAAAGCACAGTAAGATTCTTCAAATTTTTATTCGATCAATATTTAGTGAGAATTACTTGACAGTACTCTAAGAAAATGGTTCCTCTCAGACATTAAAATTTAGAGGGTATTTCTAGGAAACCTATAAAATAAGGTTTGTGAAAGCATAGAAATAAAAATACCAACAAAGGACTATAAGACATTGTAAGAGATAGATATGTCTAAATAATTTGAGAAACAAAAGTTAGAAAACATACTCATTTGGTGCTTTTTCCCACATCACAATACTCATCAGAATAGTCTACAACCTATCACTGACTTTCAGCATCATTCTATTAGAAGAAATATAGTATGAATAGTATATCAATTAACTACATTTTGAATAGCAACATATGAACCCTGTAACTAGAACAAGTGGTAACAGGAGGCACTTCTGGGACACTAAGGGAGTCTACATGTTGGATGTACGATGATGTCCATTTTTGAAAATTTCATCTGTATATTCATAGCATATATAATACAGTTAAATTTAAATTTTCATCTTTAAAAAATATTAGGTTTAGCTAAGATTTAAATCAACTGTCCTTTAAGTAAAGGTGTGATGTTATTAATATTTATAATTATCAATACATACTTACAGAACTTTTACCCAAGATGTTATTTGCTCTACATATTTGTCTCTTACTTATTTCTAGAATATATAACACCTCACTGATATTTAAAATGATTCAATATTGTAATTTCGGCATCAAATGCTCATTAGGTACCAATAATTTCAACACTAAAATTAGTATTTCAATATATCCCCTCCATGAGCGAGGGAGGGAGGGAGGGAGGGAGAAAGGGAGGGAGGGAGGGAGGGAGGGAGGGAGAGAGGGAGGGAGAGAGGGAGGGAGGGAGGGAGGGAGGGAAGAAATGAGAACTGTGGAAGGTTAGATTTAGATTTAAATACTCTTCCCCAAAATCTTCAGGGAGCCACAGTCCCACAGTCTTTAGGGAGACAGTTTCCAAAAATTATTCTGTTTTCAAATTATAAATTCTCAGATACAAAATTGTGTCCCAGAGTAGAAACTCTTCACTCTGTGTCAACCAGCAAAATTATTTCAGTTCATCTTTTGAAGATGAGGGGAAAACTAGACACTGACTACAAATCAATGAAAGCAATTCTTGCCCAGTAGTCCAAAAGGAAACAGGAACCCCAGTCCTACAAATGCACGGAACTGAATTTGGCCAATTAAGAGGAATGATTTAGCCCAAGGTCTAGATGAGACTATGATCCTGGGCTCTAATGAAAAAGTACCCAGCCAAATCCTTGATTTCTATGTCACAAGATCCTGAGCAGAGAACCCAATCACATCAAAGACTTCAGACCCTACAGAAATGTAAGATAATAAAAGGATAGTTCTTAAAAGTCACTGAATTTGTGGCAATTTGTTATGCATTAGAAGAAAACACAGGGCTCTTCCTGGTGGTGCAACAGGTTAGGGTTTAAGCATAGCACTATGAAGCTCTCCAAAGACACTGCAGCATGTGTTCAATCCCTGGCCAGGGAGGTGACCCACATGGCGCAGCAGACCTCTCCTGTCTCTCCTGCTGCTCCCCTAAGCAAATGTATTTCAGTCTGTCTGCCTGTTCTGTTCCCCACTGTGTCTCTGGTGAATCCTCTCATCTCCCACACGTCTGGTCTGTCCCCAAGTTCATAGGCATAAATAAATGAATCTTTAGGGGAAAAAAAAGAAAACAGATGTTTCCTATTTACATTATCTATTACCAGAATGCCCTGCATGCATGCCTGAACCCATACACTTATGAAGGATGAGTATTAAGAAACCGCCACAAGTCAAAAACTAATATCATTTTTTATCTATACAGTATGCTTTATGACATTTGGTAGCTATTAATTCACCAAACATCTGCTTGCTGTATGTATTCGTTGCTGGAACGATAGGAGGGAACAAGAGGATAGGAACCTCTACCCTTGAAGAGTTTATATTTTATAAAATGTTTGTAGACACAGGTTCACTAAGTTTGATACCACTGTTAATTTCAAATAGCAGATCAAATTTAATTAAAGTCAACTTAAGAAGATTGTAAATTTTACCCCAGCATCCCAACCTACAATAGCACTTATGTCATCTTACTTTCTTGGGTCACAATATTCTATAAAGTGAGACTAATAATACATATTTTACAAGGTGATTTACAACAAATTACTTTTACACATGTGTATCTATTGAAAACAATGATACCAATGCATGTGTAACAGCAACAAAATGTGTGAAAAGTGGAGGTACCATGTTCCCTGCCCTACTTAATGAGCAGCCAGGTGAAGCTATATAACATGATAGGCAGGTGGGTTCAAGAGAACCACAAGAGGATATATGGGGAGGCACAAGAAGAAGGACTGACTGATTTAGCTTTGAACTTGCACAGGTACTTGGGACTTAGGAGATATGGAAGAGACATGTAGAGACACTTGGAGATGTGTGAAAGATCCATGTGGAGGCTGACAATGGCAGTTATTATCTTGATTTGTACTTTGATCTTTTCATCCTAGGCTTGCCTGGCACCTTTCATTCCTTTCCTGTGGTCCTCACCTGAAGGTGCCTTAGACCTGTGGCAAGCTTTTGGACATCAGCAGCACTGCTTCAGACGAGCTCCATTTGTTCAGCATTTGCCTTTGAGGAGATAGGTAAATGGCTGTTTTATTGGGAAACTATTACCCTTTCTCTCTTCTCTATGCATACTAATTGTATTAAAGTTCTTTCACACCAAGTATGCTTTGTCTTTGTGCACATGGATGACTGGACCCTTTTTAGAAGCATGCAAGTTTGGGAGTCTAGGGAATATCCAGTGGTTACATATTAACAGATTTATAGTGTGTGCTTTCATTTATATAGAGTTCCAAAGACAAAATTAGTCAATTTTGTTGAAGGCTGTATGTATTAACAATTTAAAAATTAAGGAAACAATAGATACAAAAATCAGAACAACAGTTGCCACTGAGGAAAAGAGCAGACTTGTGAATTGAGAGGAGAATGTGGAGGCAGGGTAGTGACAGAATTCCATGTAGTGATGATCCAGGTGTCTATTAGTTTTGTTCAAAACTATAACAGAGAAGAATTTCTTCATTTATCTCTTATATTTCACATACATACCAATAACAAAAAATAAAATGTAAAAAATCTTTATGAAACAAAGAGGTCATTTATGCTGAATTCTACCATGACTTAATAGCTAATTTAAGTGCAGTTTCAGGGTCTTGCAAAAGTTAAATTTTAAATCAAACGAACTGAAACTTGCTAGTGGGAGCTAATGAGGTAATCTGTATAAATCTCCCTGCCTTCCTTTGAAAGAAGGTGGCTTTTTCTGAAATAACATTTTTTTTACTAGTAATCTGTTCTGCCTAACTATAAAAACCTTCCATTCTGTATAACTCTAAAAGCTCTTTTCTAGTTTCCAGAAGACATGCTACTGCTGTCATATATCATTTAATAAAGCCAATTAGATCTTAAATTGGTTGAATTTTGTTTTTTAACACTATGAAGGATTCCTTAAGACATTACCATCATTTAATGGCTCTTTAGTACCTAGAACATAGGTCACCTATTACTTACTGGCATGTGCAGTTGTAATGAATTAACTGGTTTCCTGTTAAGACTAAAAGAAAGTCACTGTTTTTGCATTGACATTCAGCTTAAAGATAACAACAGTTAGGCACTGAGAACAAGCTGAAACGCTGGCTTATAAAATCCAACCTTTTCTAAAGAACGTATGTCCAACATAATCCTTAGTCTCAGAAGACTGCTAGAAAAGGTACCAATAGTGAGGTGTGGCAGATGGCTGAGGCAGAGAAATATAGGTCAATGGGTTTCAGACTGTCCTAGGGAAACTACATATGAAAACTATGTTTTTGTTAAGAACTTCTAATTCACAGACAACCCAAATGCAAAACAAGTTTCCATCATACAGTCATTGCACTTGGTGTTCACGCTCTACCTATACTCTTCCCCTGAATGACATTCTGCCTTGCTTTGCTCCAGTTTCTGCTCAAATATCAGCATCTTCAGAGAAGTTTCCTTAACCACCTTCTAAAAGTCACATACATACTCTAAACCATTCTCCATATCTTTTCTTTGTATTTTCCTTGATATATTACTACCTGCTATGAGAAGCAGAGCCATTAGATTTTTTTATATCCATTTATTGCTTGTTTCTCTTAGTAAATAAAGAGTAGTTTGTTCACTACTGTATCCCAAATCCTGCAGTAGTGACTGACCTATAATAAACACTAAGTTGAAATGTTATCAAAGATTGCAGACTGCTACATATGGTGATACATTTGAAAATGCAAGCAACAACATATTTGAAAGTAATCACATTTAAATTTATTCTCACTTCCTAACATGTCTATCAATTTTTTAAATATTCATCTATGGATCTCTAATAAATTTATCAACATACTGCCAACAAGAAACTCATCAAATCCAAGTAAAAGGATACGAGAAGCGGTCATTCCATGTTGCTCTTTCGACATATTCCAACATAACAACAGCTTTGATTGTCGTTAAAAGTTTGTTCCATGTTTCATCAAAATCTACTACTCTTGGTTTCAAAGACATTGTGCAAGTTTAGTGTTGAAATCTGTTAATTAAAAACAACAGTATGGTTAGCATGGATTCTACAAGATAAGTAATTTATTTTTAAAGTACCGTATACTAATATGCTGACAAAAAGGTAGCAGCACACAGGAAAAACACAATAAACACTGACTGCTATTTTTTTATGACTATACAGGCAGGGGATTCTAAACAATATTTGCATTTATTATAAACTCTAGGAAATGGACAACTTTTAGTACAAATTATTTATAATCAAGGCCAGTGTTCCAAAGATTCAAAAACCTCATTTCAGAAATAATAAAAGAAAGAAGTCAGTATGATATTAGACAAAAACCCAACACCCACAGTGAAAAACATACAAAACACTCAATAAAAAGTTCTGACCCCAAAACCTTGTGCTTTAAATTCTCTAAACTAGGAGTTGAGATGGTATGCATGGAATGAAGACACAAAAAACTGAAAGGTTTATGGTCCTGAAGCAGCAATTTAAGTAAACAGATTAGGGATGAAATCTTCCATTTATATTTTAAAAAATTGATGAATTGTAAAGTAGAATGCAAAATAAACATGATCTTTTAAGATAAAAAGTGTTTAAGTTCAAGAACTATCAGATTTGCAACAGAGAGCTGTAGGACTCTATCTGCAAACTAACAGAGCTCCTTAGATTCTTAAACTATGCAAGCTTACTTACTCTAAGGAAAAGCACAGCTCTAGCACAGGACCCCAAGTTCAAGTGAACTTGACTTGATCACCCCAGTATTGCCAAAAAGCCTCCTTTTTGCCTAGTGGATAAAGCTATTTTTTAGGAGTTAGCTAGTTTCTGGAGCAACAAGTGTCCCAAATTACAGAGTTGGTTCAAGGTAGATTCCAAATCTCTCTCAGTATCAGATTAAAAGTACAGAATTAAGATAAATCTTTTAAATTTAAATATACAAGGGAGTGCTTTCTGGCCTGTGTTTAACATCCTCCCCATAGAGAGTGTGAAACACTAACCTATTCTATTGCAAGGCCAACAAGGTGGAAATACCCTTTCTTCTGTCTCCCACTAAAGGGTAAAAAGGATACAGGCAAACAAGGGAAGTGGGAGAAAAAAGAAAGAAAAAGAGAAAAGCACAGAGAAGAGAGTAGATACCACCCCAAGCCCACAAACTGGAGGTAGCCCTAGGCTGTTCTTACCTTTCTGTCCATCAAAGAAAGAAGTCTAGAAGCTTCTAAGGAACAGACTTCAAGAGAAGGGAATCAGAGAGCAGCCAAGCAAAAATCCAAAGAAGATGAGTCACTTTAAATCAACAATCTTTCTTCAACATGAGCATCTCCTCTTCTAGACCTTCAACTTCTAGAACTAACTAGAGTGGATAGGCCATTGGAAATGCCTATAGTGGGAGGAGGGGAGAACCTAATTCTCTGACTTTAAATCAGGAAATTAACCTAAAACCTTCATACCCTTATTGACCAAATCCTATCTAACCAAGTTACTGAATGTTTCTTAAATCAGTTCATTCCTTTGTAACATGACAAATGCTCTGGATCAGGTCCTTAACAACTTTAGTTTATACTAATCTCTTATTCTTCAAAGAAGTAATAATTAAATATTGTAAAGTGCTTACTATGACCCAAACACTATTCTAAATGCTTTATATAAACTTAATCTACCCAGTAATCTGATTAGGTAGATTCTATTGTATTCTCCATTTTCTAGATAAGAAAAGTATTTAGTCACAGGGAGATTATGAAACTCCCTCAAGGTAACAAAGCTATTTAAAAACCGCATCAGAATTTGTGAAGAGCCTGCAAGGACAGTATGAAATGATACTGCTTTATTAAAGTTCCAGCCAACATTTAAATACTTCCCACACGCCCTCCAAGATCACTGCTCAAAAACAAAGTTGATGACCTTCAGGAATCTTGAAGAATCTAGAATCTTGAATTGAACAAAGACAAAAATAAGCTACTTTATTCCAAAAGTGGACAATGTCACTCATACTTAACCCAGTTTGTTATTTCCAGTGTTAACTGCATTCAGTTTACACTTATCAGCAACATGGGACACCAAGGCTCCATGACGTGACCATACACTAACGTACCGCTCCAGCTTCCTTCTCTCATGGACTCCCTTAATATCATAATCCACTAAACTTACTCTCAGCATACAGAACACAAAGACTGAATCAGGTACCCCTTTCCTTCCTCTTTCCACTCATTCACTTGACTCTAATTGATATCACAGACTTGTCCAGTATATCTGCTTTCAAGAAACTTTCCAGGATCCACTGAATTAGATAAGGTGCCCTACCTTACATGGGAACTCCACACTTACCTCTGTAAGAACATTTAACCACCCTGGGCCTTCCTGGTGGTGCCAAGGGGCTAAGTGTCAGCACTACTGATGGAGGATAAGAATAGAAAAACTGGAAAGAAGGCATCATAAGACTCACACAAAGAGGTGGGGATAGAAGGGATTAACATAGCTGTTAATCCAGCTATAAAAACTACTTGACTGCAGTAGCAAGTGTCAGGAGCACAGACTTGAAAGTGAAGATAGGGAGATTAAGGAACCATTCACCCACAAAAATGAGCCCCTCTCTACTGAAAGATGCTAAAACCTAAAGCAGGCCCCACAAAAGGGCTGCAGCCCTCTGCCCACCTGTGACAATGCAAGTGCTTCTTTCCACCAACCATCTTTCCCTCTGCAATGCAGCAGCCTCCTGCCTGCCCATGACCTGTACCCTGCTGGGGCTTCTCTGCCCTGACCTCCCTCAGCAGAGGCTATTCTCAAGGCCTCCTGCCTGCAATCATGCAGGCCTCTCTCAGCAAACCTACCCCTTCCAGGGCAGCTCCTTCTGCCAGCTTGTGTCTATGCAACTGTCTTTTATTCTTCTGTTCTTTCTCCTAATAAACCATTCTTTTAAATATAACTAACATTTAAGTATCATGGAGAAACACACCTAGAAATTCACAGCATGCCACTGAAAGAGAAACTGGTGAAACCTTTCCCAGAGTGAACCCAAAGACCCCACTCTCAGAACCCACTGACTCCAAAAATGACATCACTATTTGCTGCCACTGTAGCCTGAGTTGAATCCCTAGCAAGGGAGCTGATCCACATGGCACAGCAGACCTCTCCTGTCTCATCTGCTGCTCCCCTCAGCAGTGTATTTCAGTGTATTTCAGCCTGTTCTGCTCCCCACTCTGTGGTGAATACTCTCACCTACCTATACCTCTGACCGACACTGCAGTTCTTATATGCATAAATAAATAATTTTTTTTAAAAGAAAGAATATTTAACCACACTGAATAGTAATCTGGATGTTTGAGGACAGGGATTGTTTTATGCTGTTATTACCAAAAATTTGGTAATGTTCCCTTCACATTAGTTTTATCCTGTTATAAAAATGGGGTATTATATATATTACTTATAAATTATTTTAATGGCTGCAGAGATGGACATTTAACGTTATTCAAATTTTGGCAGACACATAATGGCACTGATTGCTTTGCCAGGACCAATGGTTTTATAGTAGAATGAGTATAGTTACAGTGATAATGTTATGTCTACATAGATGGAAAATATAGAAGCTATGACAAGAGAAACACAAGCCTAAGACATTAAAAATTAAGAAGCCAACGGCATAAGTATGTTAATATTATAGTCTTAAATTAACTGCATGCAAAACAGGAAAAACACTAAAAAATCTAAGTTCCTTCATTTATTTAAATTTTCTTAAATCATTTATCAGAGAAGAATTTATATAAGGATGTTAAAGATATAGGGCAAAGAAAGAAAAACGACCACTAGCAATTTTAACCTTCCAAACTATGGAAGCTCATTAAAACGTGACTCTTGTTCTTCATTTCTGTGGCTTACTATGTAAGTTAACATCATTATCACACTTAACATGCTGACAGAACCAGTTCTAACCCACTATTAAGATTCCGTCCCACTGATTATCTGCAAGGTTCAAATTGTAAGAACAATGAGGAACAACCTCTGAAAGTGTCGATAACACTCCTGGCCAACTTGATGGTGGAGCTTTTCAGACTCCACACCTGACTCCTTGAATGGGGGCTGTTGGGAAGTAGGGGCAGAGTGGAGCCACCACTTAGACCTTTAAAAAGACTAGGCACAGAAGACATGTCTCACCTGTTTTGGCTTCTGCTTATGCCCTCGTATCTGCTCAGCTGATGCTGACAGCTGGACAGATGGTATCCTCTTTTTTTTTTTCCCCTAATTTCTCTGTGATCTTTAGCATGTGAATGAAGATTCACAAAATTGGTTATCCCCTTTCCTACAGGACTGGTCCATAGCAGCTTAGTGTCCATCAAGGACCCAGATGCCTGTGGTTGGCCAGCCCAAGGACTGTTCCTTAAGTTGGCCACAATAAACACAGTGTGACTGACAGATAGGTATCAGGAAATTTTTTGTCTCTAATTTAGAGACTGATTTTATTTCAGGAACATTACTGCTGCATATCTTTTTTTTTTTTTAAGATTTATTTATTTATGCATATGATACTGAGGTACAAGCCAGAGATGCAGGGGCAACGAAAGGCTGATTCACCAAAGATGGAGTGGTGAGCCGAACAGGCAAGACATGGCAGGTCTGCTATACCATATGGGTCACCTCCTGGGCAGGGGGTTACACTCACAGGCCAGAGATTGCACTCGAGGCGGTGGCTAGGCTCCCAGTGCTGTGCTTTAACCCATTACACCATCAGGGAGGGCCATCTCTGAATATTTTGATGCAGATTTAATTTTAAACTTTGTTTCAACCTTGTTTTTGGTTTGGGTGATCTTATAAACTCTGGTATATGGACTCAAAAATACCTTACAGATCACTTGGAGGCTACATGCTGCCTACAGACCACAATCTATAGGCCAACCTGAACAAATGAATCACACCCTAAAGAAGACTTTGGTTAAACTATGTCAAGAAACCCACCGAGGTTCAGATTAGGTACTATCCATCACCTTTCCCAGACAGGAGTGGTTACTAGAAGGGGGCTACATGTAAGCCCCTTTCAA